CATCGGAATACAAAGTTATGATAAAAATACTGAAAGAAAGTGCAGCTGCCTGTTTAAAACAAGAAATTCCGTTACATAATCCGTTAAAACAACAAATTCCGTTAGTTTTTCCGTTAAACCAACAAATTCCTTTAAATAGACACTTTTTATATATAGAAAGATATTTTGCGGGATCCAATACTTTACTCCTAAAAGTTACAAATAATTTTATCCGAACACTCTAATAGAACCGTTGGTTCGTAAGACGGATAACTATATACAATGTATAATATTTAAGAAAATAAGGAATACACTTTTCTTTTAACTATCAAATACATGGAAACTGCAGAAAGTGACCATTTTCTCACATAAATCAAAGGTTGAGTTTTTGTGGTATGATATTCAACAACTGTCTTTTCTTGTAATTGTTCCAAGTTTGTGTTTTTTCTTTGTGTAATGGCAATTGGTTGTTACTCTGAATGACCCAATCTTCACCCCTAACTTAAGTTCTTTATGTACGCTTTGCAGCATCTCAACTATGCAGATACCAGAAAAATAAAAATAAATATAAAAAATGACTATGATGTTACACAGGTGAAAATCCCAATCCCAAAGAGAGAGTTTCAAAAGGGTTAACTGTCAGCTATGAAGTTTTATGGAAACGTCAATCTCTCACAAAGAATCCAAATCTACGAGCCACGAAACCTGAATAACTAACTGTATAAGAACGAATGGATAACCAAAACTTGGAAGAAAAACTTCAGAATTTCATTGGGGGCATTAAATAAAACATTATTTGAACAAGAAATACATCTTATCCAAAAGCTCAATCGTACAGGATTTTCGGTATCCTTTTTGAAGCTATCTTCACAATGTCCATGTAACGAATCAATTCCTGGCAGCCTGTAACATCAAGATACTGAAGTTCCTTGCATTTGGTAACAATAGTAAACATGTCTAAATCAACAATGGTCGAATGGGACAGATTCAAAAGCCTCAATCTTGGAAACCATTTAGATAGATCACAAGCAAAGTTTGTTTCAAGAAAACCCTGCCCTCTAATCCCTCTAATTTTAGGACAGCAGCAACTCAATTCTTGCAAAATCGAAGTATTGAAATATGGGGTGTAGGAGAAGTCAATAAGCTCCAGTTCTCGACAGCTGCGAAAAACATCAAATATCGCTTCCTTGGAGGCATGGAAAGATCCATGAAAGGAGATGTGCTTCAAGTTTGGGCAGCTGCAGAAGTCAACACAAAATTGGTGTTGTAGGAGAAATCAATATAGGACAAGTGAAAGTTAGAGCACATATTTGGTATCTCGCATTACACAAGGCAGATAAGTACAATGGTCAAAGTTTTAACTTCTTTTTTTTCACCTTAATACTATCCATTACTATATGGTGTCCACGTTAATAAACAAGCCAATACAGTATAAAAAGTTTAGAGACAATATCACTTGAGGGTCTTCTATCAAGTATATTCACCTCATAAATGACCTAGATCTTGAGTGGAAAATATAACCCTAGCTGGAAGAAAACCGAGTTGTAGAATGAGTGGTGAATCCTTAGAATTCATACCAAATCCCATTAATCAACTCACTGTTTCAAGAAATACAAGACACCTTAGTCATAAGAGTAAAGAGATCTATTCATAATTAAGAAAAAGGAAAACACGAGAACAGGGATTGTGGTATGATATCAGCCAAAATCTGTGAGAATACTAATTAAAGACCTTCCAAGAAGTCATAAAAAGAGCCGTTAGCCGGCATTATTAGAGAGTGACGTGTATTTAGGTGTATCCAAGTTAGTTGTCACCATCCGAACCTACCAATCAGATAGTTTCAAAACGCAATAATGACATTGTGTGCCAAATAAGTAACTTCAAAACTTAAAACCGTCTATTAATTTAAGATTAGATAGATTGATTACTTGACACGTGGAACAAGCCTTGTGCAATGTTAAGAGTACGGTGACCTGAATTATGTTTGGCCCGGCCCGAAAAGTTTTTTAGTGTGACACGTGGTGAAACCAAAATTATATGAATTTTTGGGGGTCTGCATGTTAGGGTTTCATTTTATCCTCCTTTGGCCTTCTTTTCATTTTATCTTGGATGTCCACATAAATCTCGTATTCTTATTCTTATCCTTTGTTTGAACCACATTAAAATTTTCATTTTCATTCTTCTACTTATTTTCAACCACAAATTCTTCAATAAAATAATATTTTCTATCATATCAATAAATTTTCCTTCTTTCTCAACCACACATTTTCCATCAATTTATAATTCCAAAATACATTCTTCCAAAATAAGGTGGCTCAAACACACCCTTAGTTTATATATTGTTTATTCTCGCTTTTGCATAACATGCAGGAATCCCCCTTAGTATCTAACTAGAGAAATAAACTCCAGAGTCATTCAGCTATAGCCAACTAAACTTCAATAAAAGAAAAGATATCTTACAATGCACATGCAACTTACACACATAAGTCCCCGTTTACAACTAATCAAGCAGATAATTTTGCAAAGACAAGGAAGCTAATTTCTCAAGAGGTTCATATACAAATATTTCAAGGTCAACAAGTAGTCTAGAATAATCTTAATACTGTGCCGTGAAATCAGGCTTAAGTGATGTATCATATTGTGTATAAAGGGATCCCCAATTTGGCCAATTCTTTGGTGATAAGTTTTCAATCATAATTTGCATATCAA